CCTTCGGTGAAGCTCCCCGTGGGGCCACGAAACGCTGTCCTGGGTGGCAGTGACGCATGCGGCCTGTGCCACTGGAGTCTTCGGTGGGGTGCCCTGTGGGGCCACGAAACGCTGTCCTGGGTGGCAGTGACGCATGCGGCCTGTGCCACTGGAGTCTTCGGTGGAGCCCCCTGTGGGGCCACGAAACGCTGTCATTGGTGGCAGTGACGCATGCGGCCTGTGCCACTGGAGCCTTCGGTGGAGCTCCCTATGGGGCCACGAAACGCTGTCCTGCGTGGGGGAGACGCATGCGGACTGCGCCATTGGGACCTTCGGTGGAGCTCCCTATAGGGCCACGAAGCGCTGTCCTGGGTGGCGTTGACGCATGCGGCCTGTGCCAGTGGAGCCTTCGGTGGAGCTCCCTATGGGGCCACGAATAACGTGCGAGGGGTGTGCCGACATGATGGACATGCGGAGAGCAGAGGCAAGGAGGGCCAGGGAGGACGGGGAGGGGGCAGCGGGAGGAGGGGGAGGAGGATGAGTGACGCGGGGTGCTGTCTCTTCAAAACGAGGACCCAACACCACAGGATGGTTGGGAAATAGCCTCCCAGGCCCCCACGAGGCCCCCAAGAGGCCCTCCAGAAGGGGCCCTCGCGCACGCCTCGCGTGCCGTTCCCGAGCGTCGGGAAGCGGAGCAGGCGACCACCGAAGATCCATGAAAAAACGATTGGCAAAAACAAGGATGTTTGCCTTGTGGGGCTGTTTCGGGAAGCAAATTAGAGCCGCCTTGGATGCCTCGTGGGCCGCATCGGAGCGATGGCGGGCGTGCCGGGACCCTGTGGGAGCCCTGCGGGCCTCCTTGAGGACCTCTGTGGCGTGTCCTAGCTCGTTTGGGGAGCCACACGGAGCCCGCTTGGGCGATTCTGGGCGCCTCGTGGGCCGTCTTGGGGGCCCCCTTGGGGTGTCTCGCAGCCCTGCTGGGCGCCTCCTGCGCCGTCTTTGCGCGTGGAGCAGCGGAGCAGGCGACCACGCAAGAATTCGCCCCTGGAGCCTCTCTCGGGGATCAGCTCGAAGCCCTCCTGCCATCGCGTTGGGAAGGCAAGAAAAGACCTGTCACGCCGCGGACGGGAGATCCATGCGGCGGGCGGGCAAGAGGTCCGCCCACACGCAGGCGTGCACGCCGAGCACCAACAAAAAACTGAGGCAGTTGCGCTGGAGAGGCATGGCTTGGCCCACGGTGTGAGGGCGCGGCACCAGGCCAAGCCTCCCGCATCACTGCGCTTGCGCGACAACCCGCGAGCGATCTTCGCACTGTACAAGCTTCGCACTGCGGGCAGAAACCAAACGACCAAAAAATGCGAAGGCATCCGTCTGTATTACTGGCAGCATGCTTCGGCACGATCAGCCACGTAGGCGACGTCGCACTTGTCGCGAAAAGCCGCCTCAAAGGAAGTGGCTCGCACTTGTCGCGAAAACCCACCGACCCAAAAAAAAGCAGGGCACCCCTCCAGAGAGAGGCGCGGCCCGGTGGAGGAAGGATCACACGACGGCCTCATCCGCGCCGTCACGTGCTCAGATGGTCGAGACTTCGGCCGCACCGTCCTCGCTGGCCTCCTCCTTCTTCGGAGGGCCCGCATTCACGTCGGCCACGACGCGGAGCGCCGTGACTGCGAGGATCGGGTTGAGCAGGGCCCAGCCCCCGATGACGTAGCCGAGCCCGTAGCCGGCGCCGTTCGCGATGTCCCCGAGCTTGCCCTTGGCCGCCACGATGCCGTCGTTCTGGTCGTCCTGGACCCAGCACGTCGTCTCCTGCCCCAGCGCGCTCAGGCCGCTGGCCCACGCGGCGAGCAGGAAGACCCAGGCCACGCCGAAGGCGGCAACGGTGCCCCAGAGCACCTTGCGCATGTCACGCTTGTCCCCCTGGCGAGGTACGCGAGCATCGCCGCAAGCCCCAAGAAGCAGAAGACGATCCCGGCCACGCTCAGGCCGCCCGCGGCCGTCAGGCCGTCGACGTCCGTGCAGAGGTCGCCGAGCGGGATGCAGCAGGCCTTCGGCAAGGCGTCCGCGCTGCAGGACGACGCCGGGGCCGCGGCCCACTCGGTGCCCGACTGGCTGTAGTCGATGGTGCACGGTCGGGAGACCGCGGCGGACACGTTGGCGCACTGCGTCGCATGCAGGTCGCCGCACCCAGTCAGCGCCTCGCACTGGCTCAGCCAGTCCGCCGTCGTGGCGCTCGAGCACCCCTGCCACGACTCCTCGAAGGACGGCGTCGGCGCCCAGGACGGTGGAGAAGCCGCTCTGGTCGGCGCAGGCGGAGCTGAGGCCATCCATGCACGTCGCGAGGTGCGCATCGAGGTCCGCGCCCGCGAGGGGGCTCGGGGCCCAGCCCACCTCCTCCGCAAACATGGCGGAGCACGCGCTCCAGGCGCCGATGCCGACGTGGTCTCGGGCGTCGAAGGACGCGTACTTCACGTCGCACCACTTGGCGTTCGGCACCGCCATCAGCAGCACCATGATCGAGTGCCAGCCGAGCCCGTAGGCACAGGGCGCCAGCCACCACTGCCTCGCGCCGCCGATGTCGGTGCTGCCGATCTTCGACTCCTCCACCGCGGCGGACCGAGCCTCGCCGTCCGCGGAGGCCATCTTCATGCTGGGCGGCATGAATGAGAAGTCCTTCTTGAGCACCGCGGGCAGCCGCTCCGGGCGGCAGGCGCGCATGCCGAAGACGCAGGAGCCAGCGATCAGCAGGAGCAGGAGCGGAAGGCCCACGAGCACGAGTGCCGCCCAATGCATCAGGGACAGCCCCAGGAGCAGGCCCGGAATGACCGCGAAGACGGCGATGATGTAGGCGAGGGGGAACCAGCGCACGTCCGCGGCCATGCTACCCAGCGCCCTGGCCATGGTGAGCGGCACGGCGCGCATGGCAGGAATCGGGAACCAGATCAAAGCGCCGATGAGGTTGAAGAACAGGCGCGAAAACGCCACCGTCATGCCGGTCGCGACGTTCGAGCCCGCCAGCGCTGACAGCATGCCCGTGACGGTGGCGCCCACGTTCTCGCCGACGGTGAACGGGGACATCTTGTCAAGCTTGATCAGGCCGATTCCGACGAGCGGCGTCAGCGTCGAGGCGGTGATGCTGCTGCTCTGCGTGAGGATAGTGATGCCCACACCGAAGAGGATAAGGATGTAGTCGGCCACAAAGGGCACCGTCTTGAACTCCAGATTCAGCAGCCCCTGCATCCAAATCGCGGCGCGGCCCCGAAAGATCGCCCGCAGCAGCTTGACCAGGAGGATAAGCGCGGTGGACAGCATCACCAGGGAGATGACCAGCAGCAGCCACCCAGCCCCCTCGTCACTCAGGGGCGTGTCCAGGAACATATGGTTGTCCTGGGTGCGCTTGTTCTGGATGATCGACTGTGCCAGCAGGTCGCCCAGCGTGTCCTGGTCGCACGCCTGTGCGACCTTGGTCACCAACTTCTTGTTTACAGAGATCAGGCGAGAGGTGACCGGCTTCGTGAGCACCTTGATGAAGTCGACTTTCTCCTTCGCCTCCTGGTCCTCCTCGATGCCGGCGGACTCGACAAGGACAGGAAGTCTGCGCGCCGGCTCCGGTAGCCGGAGCGGCCCCCTGAGGGGCAGACGCGCGCATGGCAATTAGGAAAATGCATCGAGTGAAACGCGCGCATGGAAGGCCGCTCACGCATCCAACGAATCTCTCCATCTCAGACGAGGTCGCCCTTGAGATCGTTTGGCTTCCGTCCAGAACCACGGCGCCCAGAGCAACAGTCGTTTGCTCCACTTGTTCCCAGCGTCGAAGAAGACGCGGGCTGCGAACGCGCATTTGCGAGCGCGTTGGATGGACACCCAGTTTCTGATGCGAAAATTGGAACAATACTCCTCTATCCTCATGGTCGAGCGCTTGATGTTCTCCAAGTACGTTTCGTCCGCGGCCCTGGCTGTGCGAAACATGCTCCGGAGCATCTTTCTCCACTCGACTCTGAGTCTGTTTCTGGACGTAGCATCCAGCGTCCAGCATTCACACGCATACAACGCGACCGGGCCCACGACGCTGTCGAACAGCCGCAAGCGCTTTCTCAGCGGGTACGACCGAGAACATAGAACGTGCTTGAACTTGGCGAATGCCCTCCAAGCAGACGACAATCGATGTGTGAGTTCATTGTCGTGAAAATCATAAAGAGACAGCTGAATTCCCAAATACCGTTCCGATTCACCTGGCTGTACAATAGCGACATCCTCTCCAGACACTTGCACTGTCAGTGAACAAGTGTCAGCAGAATGTGTAATAATCTTCGTTTCCCGAAGTGAACAACAAGTCCATACCGGGAAGCCTCCTTAGTCAAGTCCCTGAGCATTTTCACAACGTCTGATTTGCTGCTCGCCAGTAAAAGGACGTCGTCTGCAAACCGTAAATTCGTCAGCGGGTCATCCACAGAGTCAATGACAAAACCAAAATACGGTCCAGTCCTGCGCTGATTTAGCCCGTGCCATCTCTTCTTGAGTGCACGAAAGCATACTTCCATCACAGCTATGAACAACAATGCAGATATCGGGTCTCCTTGTTTCACACCGCGAGATAAATCGAATCTCCTCGAATCTTCTCCCGCCACGACCGTGGCTGACTGATGGCAGTACAGCTTCTGCACCAAAGAAATATAAGTGGCGTATACGCCTAATACACGAAGTACCTCCCACAGCGCAGAGTGTTCTACAGTATCGAACGCCTTTTCAAAATCCACGAGAGCTATCCACAGCGATTGGTTTCACTCCTCACATCCTTCAGCGAGAAGCGTGAGTGTGAGTAAATGGTCAACTGTCGAATACCCCTTCCGGTATGCCGCCTGGTCCGGGCTCTGCGCAGAAACAATTGCTGGCTGGAGTCTGTCGCACAACACCTGGGCAAACAATTTGTACAGGATTGGCAATATAGCTATGGGTCTATAGTTCTTTGGAAGTAAAGGGTCTCCTTTTTTGAATAATACAACAAGCCGCGTTCTCGTCCACGTTCCCGGCAGCGCCGCACCCGGCTGCGTCACGTCGTTGAACAAATCGAGAACAGCATTGCGGAAAATGGCACTGGACGCCTTCAACATTTCCGCAACCACTCCACTCCGGACTCGACAAGGGCGCTGCCGATGTGATAGAGCATGTGGGTGAAGTACTCGAGCGGGAGCAAGATGGACACTGTCAGCAGATTGAAGCAATCGTGCACCGTTGCGCCCGCGAACGCCCGGCGGTACTGGTTCACGTCGCCCATGTGGGACATGCTGACGATTGTGTTGGTGACGGATGTGCCGATGTCCGCCCCCATGATCATGTAAACGGCGTTCTTGGGATCGATCAGGCCTGCCGCAGTCATCGTGATGATGATGGAGGTGCTGGTCGACGATGACTGCACCAGCACTGTCGCCAGGATCCCGAGGGAGCAACCCGCGAACGGGTTGTCGAAGATGGCGTTGTTCCGGAAGACCGCGCCGGCGGTGGGGCCACCGATGACGGTGAACGCGTCGCCCATCATGCTGAGGGAGATGAGGAAGATGTAGAGAAGCCCCACCGCCGTCACCACCTTCAGCACCTGGATGATCACGAAGAGAGCCTTCTCTGGGCCTGTCCGCTGCGACCACGCCTTGTCTCCGGACTCCATCTGCTTCACATCCCACTTGTCCACCACTGCCGCCATCTCTAGACGGCTCTGCTTGCTGTCTTCGTCCGGGAGTCCTCGGGCGATGCGCCTCCCCGAAGGCCTGCCTGCCTGAGCTGCGGGAGCTCGAGCCAAAAATGGCTTGAGCCAAAGTGGCTACGGAGAGGCTTTCTTGGGGACATCTCGTGCCGTCTTCGAGGCCCTGGGAGCCAGCCAAGAAATCCAAAATCATTGGAAAAAAAACTTACGGTTTTCAGTTGTTGTAGCTTTTCCGCCCAGTCGGTCTTAAGGGCGCCCAAGACGGCCCAACAATCCTTCAAAATCGTCCCAAAACGGCTTCCGAGCCCGCAAGAGGGGCTCAAGAGGACCCCAAGACGGCCCTTAGGGGGCCCGAGAGGGGAAGCGCGAAGTGACATGTCGAGCCCTCCACCCCCAAAAATGGCCTCCCGGACCGCCACGATCTCCAGGAGGCCCCCAAGAGGCCCCCAACGAGGCCCTCAAGAGGAGGCCCTCGCGCACGCCTCGCGCGCCGTCTCCGAACGTCGGGAAGCGGAGCAAGCGACCACGGAAGATCAATGAAAAACGCATTGACAAAAACAAGGATGTTTGCCTAGTAGGGCTGTTTCGGGAAGCAAGCTACAGCCATCTCTTTTTTTAGTCGAGGACCGTTTTGGAGCGCTATGGGCCTCCTTGAAGACTATCCTGGAGCCATCTCGGGCGCCTCCTGGGCCATCCTGGAGGCCCTGGAGGGCGGCCAAAAGAACAAAAATCTACAAAATCCATCGGTTCTTGCGTGGTGTTACATTTACCACCTTTCTTGTCTTCAGAGCGCCCCAGGCGGCCCAGGAGGCACCAAAGATCGCCAAAAAACAACCCAAGAGCCCCCCAAGAGGGGCCCAAGAGGCCTCCAAGACGGCCCCGAGTGGAGCCCAAGAGGGAGAGCACGAAATGATATTTTGAGCCCTCCCCCAAAACTGGCCCCAAGATCCCCCCGGAGGCCCCCAAGGTGCCCCCACCCAAGAGGCCCCAAACACTCCAAACCTACCAAGAGGTCTCCCAGTAAATCCTCACAGGCACCCAAGGGGCCTCCGACCGACAACGTGGCGGAATGGGCCGAAGGCCACTATATCCGCCGCCCCCCTGTGGTCTTGCCACAAGGATGCACGGCGTGCCAAATGTCTGGCAAGTTTTAGGTTTTTCTCTACAGAACTCGGGCTTCGCCCAGCCCGCCGGTCACCCGGAAAGCTCTGGGCGACGCATCTCCCTTCGGTTGTTTCGCTTAAGCTGCCTTTAAGATGACCTCCAAGACGAGCACGATGGCCTCCCAGACGGCCAAGATTGTATACACTTCTCGATTTGTGCGTGTCATCCTTGCGCAGGGGCAATGCTAATCTTCTCTGTATCGTTCCACTTTTAACGGATAATCCCCGAAGGGAATCCTCCCAGACAGCCAAGATGACCCCAAGAGAGCCCTAGATGGCCGAAAAATATTGCCAAGACGGCCCGTGGTGCACCAAAGATGGCCTAAGATGGCCTCAAGATGGCCCAAGACAGCCCAAAAGGCGCCCAAGAGGCCACAGGTCCTCCCGGAAGGACAGAAGGAGCCAAAATCACTGATTTCCCAACGGTTGGCATTTGTTTCAAAACGGTTTCTCAACGGTTGGCATATGTTTGGAAGAAGTCTAAATCAAGAATTTTGTTTGAAAGATGCTGGCATTTGCTTCAAAACGGCCTTCTGACGGCCCAAGACGGCCCAAGAGGCCCCCAAGACCCCAAGATCAACCAAGAGGCCTCCAAGATGGCTAAAGCAAGGCCCAAGAGGCTCCCAAGACGGAACCCAAAACCGCCCCAGAGGTCTGACTCTGAAACGCCGGAAGAGGGCTTCAAGACGGCCGAGAGACTCTCCCAAGATGGCTTCCGACAGCGTCAGACGGGCCAGGAACGCCGTAAGAGGGCCAGAGAGGACCCCAAGAAGCTCCAAATAAGCCCCAGCTCCTAGGAGGCCCCAAGAATGACCCGAGAAGCTCCCGAAAGGGTTTCCTCATCCTTCTCATCATCCTTTTCCTCCCTCTCTTCCTCCTCCTCCTCCTCCTCCCCCACATGTTCCCCGAAGGGCTTCCAAAACGGCTGGCGGAACGAATGGTCCAACAGTGTGGTCGAGCTTTGCACAACCGTTTGGCCACACAGGCGTGTCCCAAAAGGCAGGGGGCGGCGATGCTTCGCCGCAGGCGCCTTCGATCATACATATCTATATATATATACATATCTATATGTGTGTAAGCATACATACATGCATACCTACCTATATACCTACCAATCTCCCTACCTACCTACATACATACATACTTACTTACATACCTACATACATATGTATAGATGCACAAATACATATATATATATGTTTGTATGAGAGAGAGCGTGCATGCAGCTATGAATATGTACATATAGATATGCATACATACACATATACATTTACATAGACACATACATGTATAGATAGTTGCACACATACGTATACATGCACATATGTATATCATAAGCAAATGCATATGCATATACCTATACACATAAAGATACGTTCACATATGCATAAACCTACACGTGGACTGAAACATGTGCATCTACATGTACACGTACGTGCACATACAAATGTATCGACCCATGCATATGCATAAACCTATACAAATAGATGTGCGTACACATATACATATACAAAAACATGCACATATACATAGGATATGCATCCACCTGTACACATGCATATACATGTATGTACACATATACCAATAGATAAACGTATACATAGACATATATATATATGCGTGTATACATACATAGACTTATACAGTTATATGTACATATACACACATGTATACGTATCCATAAACATACACGTATACATATGCATATCTATAATCAGGCACACATACATACATACATAAGCGCATGTAGGTACATACATACATCGTGTATGAATAAAAACATACATACAGACAGACATACAAACATACATACAAACATACATACACGAACATGCGGACATACATACATACACACATACAGACAGACAGGCAGACAGACAGACTGACTGACAAACAGACAGACAGACGGAGAGACATACGGACATACAACGATACAGTCGTACAGACATACTGGACAGACAGACATACATACATTCGTGCATACATACATACACGCATGCATGCATGCGTAGAAGAGTGTATGTATACAAACGGTCATACATGCATACATATATACATACATGCATGCATGCGTGCACATGCATGCATGCATGCATGCGTACATGAACACATATACATGTGTGCAAAAAATATGTGGTGTACAATGGTGTAGTATGTTGTGTATATGGATGTATGTGCATGCGTATGTATGTATACGCGTATGTTTGTGTATGAATGTATGTTATGTGCATGCATGCATGCATGTATGTATGTAGGTACTACAAGAAACGCATACGTCTACACGCTCTGCTTTGCCTTCCTATCGAACAGCGGCGTGCGGAGCGGACTCCATGATCAGATGCACATCCACAGACATGTGGCATCGCATGGAGGTGTAAGAACGAGCATACGGCTGTCCGCATACACACCGACACACTCAGGCGGACGAAGCCTACGGCACAGTGGGGTTCGAGGAAGCCCCGGGGCGCAGGCGAACACACCTGCCACCACGCCTCGAGGCACGCGCTGCGGCGTGTCCACCGACGAGGCAGCCGCGCGCAGCCCACGGCGCCGTGCAGGGCACGCCCGCGCACCCTCCTCGAACCCGCCCCCCCCGGCCTCGACCAGCTGGCCCTCCTGGGGCGTGGGGGCGTCGACGCTATGCATCGGCGCATGCTCTCCCTCGCCCTCCCCGCTCGCTGCCGCTGCTGCAGCCGCCGCTCGCTCTCCCCGTCCGCCTCCTCCTCCCCCACACTCCTCGTCCTCCTCCTCCTCCTCCTCCACCTCCTCCTCCTCCTCCTCCTCCTCCTCTTCCTCCACCTCCTCCTCCTCCTCCTCCTTCTCCAGAATTACTCAATATGAATACTACTCCCCCTCTTCCCCTGATGACGGTTTGAAAGTGGCCGACCCCCCCCCCCCTCGTACTGTTTTTTTCCACACCGGTTTCCCCGGAGTTGGGTTTTCGCCTGCATTGTTCAAAATGCTGCTCTCGCTGAGGCGCCGGCCTCATTTTCGGGCCCCGCTCGTTCCGAATCGTGCCCCCGCTGCAGCGCTGGCCTCATTTCTGTGCTTCCGCTCGTTCCGAATCGTACTCCCGCTGCAGCGCTGGCCTCATTTCCGCGCTTCCGCTCGTTTCGACTCGTGCGCCCGCTGCAGCGCTGGAGTAATTTCCCGTGCCATGCCACGGCATGCAATGCAATGCTAGGTTGATACTACGCTTTGCGGTGCTCCTCTACGCCATGCCATGCCGTGCTCTACAATGCATCGCGTACCCTTTCGGGATCATTGCCCTGCTCGACATCCGACTGAGCGAGTAGAGAGGGGATCTGCGCCATGGTAAGGGATGGGATGGATGTCAGATATGACGCGAGCGCACCTAGCTTGTCCCCCTCCCCCTCCCCCTCCCCCTCCCCCTCCCGCACTCTCCGACAGCTGGCCTGAATGACCCCCACCGGCTCCTCCGCCACCGCCGCCTCGCCCTCCCTCTGTGCTGCCTCTCGTCGTCAGGACGGAAGCCCACGTGGCAGAGAGGTCCGACGGCTGCTGCAGTGAGACCGACCTCCCTTCGTGATTGCACACGACCCGGACTCCCCCTCGCGGTGCGCAGCCCTGCCTCGCTCTACCTGCTCGGGAGTGTCGTACCAGGTCGAAGCTGGAAGAGATGGAGCAGTCAGGCGGAGGATGAGGAAGGCAAGCGAGGGAAGGCGGAGGAGTGAGGAAGCGAGGAAGCGAGGAAGGAGGAGCGAGGAAGCGAGGAGGGAAGGCGGAGGAGCGAGGAAGCGAGGAAGGTGGAGAAGGGGGAGGAGCTGGAGGAGCTGGGAGGGAGGGAGGGATCGAGAAACGTGGGAGAGGAGGAAGGACGGAGACAGGGAGAGGTTGGAAGAGGAGGATGCACATGCACGGTGACAGCCACCTCTGCTCACCTCATCCTGACAGTCTCTCCGGCACGGGGCAGCCACACGTGCGGAGGGCACGCAGGACCCGCGGGCGCGGCCGCCGGCCTGCGCCCTGGAGGCCAGCGCCTCGTCTGGGAATCGATCGCTTAGAGCGGACAAGCTCACGAACTACAGTTGGCGGCGAGCCCGGGGGGGGGTGAAGCGAGAAGGGGCGGGCAATCAGCTTCCTGAGCCTTCCCCAAAGGCACAAAAAAGCCTCTCGGAAGGCGCGAGGGCTTCTGAGAAGTCCCGCCGCCTTCTGAGAAGGCCTTCTACTTCTCACTTCCCCCTGGGCGCGCCGCCGATACAGAACTCCTGGTCGAGGACCAGACTTTCCAACGTGCTATAGGCTGGGGAAGGCGCGCCCCCATGCAGCCGCATCAGGCAGCTGCCCTGTGAAGTGCCACTGCCCCTGCATTTGGGGGCACCACGGCATCACAAAAAATGAGGAACGCCCTCGAGGAGAAGGAAGCGAAAATGCGCAAAGCCACTAAAAAATGTGCTCGTATGTATGACAACTCTTGCCTACCCGAGAGCGCGAGTCGATTTTCCAGAGGAGGACATCTTCAAATCAAATAAAATCAAGACCACAGGGGGTGGTAGAGGAATGGCGCTTCTCAATATCAGGGTGCTGCCGGCTGGAAGGGCCAATGCCCTAGCATGAAGGGTTCTACTGCTTCATAACATAATGGGGAACGCACTTGAGGAAATCAAGTCGGAAATACGCAAACCAACAGAACTAGAATCCCTGGTATTCGCCGCGACAAGAAAACACTCTTCAAAGGTGCAAGACTGGGGAAGGCCCACCCCCATACAGCCGTATCAGGGCGCTGCCATGTGAAGGTAAATACGTCGTGCGAGCGTGAAGTGTAAAGGCAGAACCGCCAGAATTGCCGCCCAGCTCTGTCCTGGTGGCTACAGCCTCTGCTGAGAACGGCATCGCTAGAACGGACAAACTCACGAACTGAAGGGCTCCCATTCTATCAAGAATCCCTCGAACGTGCCAAGCTGGGGAAGGCTCACCCACATACGACCGCATGAATCATCACACGCGAAGGCCCAGCGTGAAAGCAGGGCCATCGGCATTGCGGCCAAGGCCGTGTCCTGGAAGCTGACGCCTCGCCTGGGAACAGAAACGCTAGGCTAAACGGACAAGCTCACGAAGCGCGGAGCTGCCAATCTACGAATAGACCTTCCAACGCACTAGGCTGGGAAAGGCGCACCCCCACGATGCCGTGCAAAAGCACCGCTGCCTTGTGGGGGTTAGTGCGTCGTCGTGCGAGCATGCACTGTGAAGGCAGAGCCGCCGGCATTGCCGCCGGGCTGTCCTGGAGGCTACAGCCTATGCTGACAACGGAGTCGCTAGAACAGATAACCACACTGAGTAAAAGCTACCGTTCCATGATCAAACTTGTTCGGCGTACTAAGCTGGGGAAGGTTCACCCTCCTACAGCCGTTTGAAGTATAAAAACGCTGATCTGCGAAGATAGATAGCACGTGCGAAAATCAAGCGTGCTAGCCTGGGGAAGGCTCTCCCCAATGCGGCCGTGTCAAGGCGCTGCCCTGTGAACACAGGATCGCCAGCATTGCCGCCGGACTGTGTCCTGGACGTTGAGGCCTCTGATGGAGCCAGGATCGCTAGAAAGGGCAGGCCTCACAGGGTCAAGAGCTGCCATCATGTGATCACCTGGTCTGACAACGGATCCGCTAGACCAGAAAAGCTCACGGAGGAACGAGCTGCCTTTCCATGACTCAAAAATATTCCATCGTGCCAGGCTGGGGAAAGCTCAGTCCCGTACAGACCTTACCAAGTATCACAGCGCTGCCCTATGGGGGTAGATACCACGTGCGAGCGTACAGTGTGAAGGCAGGACCGCCAGCATTGCCGCCAGGCTATGTCCTGGAGGCTAACGCCAAGTCCGCGGACGGAATCGCTAGAACGGACAAGCCCAAGAAGCAAAGAGCCTGCAGTTCTGGTACGAAACTTGCAGACGCGAAAAACATGGGAAGGGTTCGCCCCCATACAGCCACATCAAAACGCTCTCAGAACGCTGCCCTGAAGAACGAAATGCCTCGTGCGAGCGTGCAGTGTGAAGGCAGGACCGCCAGCGTTGCCATCGGGCTGTGTCCTGGAGGCTACAGCCTCGACTCGACTGGGAACGGCATCGCTGGAACGGACAAACTCACAAACCAAAAGGCTGCCGTTCTACGAACTGCTTTTCCGTCGTGCTAGGCTGGGGAAGGCACGCCCTCATACAGCCGTATCGGGACGCTGTCCTGTGAAAGGGCCGATGCCCCAGCGCGAGGGGCATCACGGTATCAGAGAAGAAAGAGCTAACTCGAGAAAATCGAAGCGGATATGCGTAAACCAACTAAGCTATCATATCCGAAAAAAAGAAGAGGAGAGGGAGGAGGGAGGAGGGAGGAGGGAGGCGGGAGGAGAGAGGAGGGAGGGAGGGAGGACGGCGGAGGAAGAAGGAAGGAGAAGGGAGCAGGGGGCGGCCCGCAGAGGAGGGAGGCAGGGAGAGCGAGCCGCCAGAGCGCCCGCCCCCTCTCCCTTCCCAGCCCTCATCCCCGCCCGCCTCCCAACCTGAAACAAAGCCAGGACGAGGACAACATCGGATGAGGACGAGTCGAGAATCTCTGAGATCTGGCGGCTCTGGAGGACGTCTCGGGCGCCGCGGCCTTCTCAGAGCGCTTCGGCACGCTATCCAAAACGCTCTGGAACGGAGTCATCCTCGTTCTAGCCCCGTCAGACCTCCGCGGTTCAAAGATAGGGCCCTGAGTTATGTTGCTCCGATCGTACTTAAGGACCACATCCCGGAAATAATTTCGAGCACCCGGAAGAGTGTCAAAAGAGAGTCGAAACAGTGTCGAAACGTTGTCGGGCGAGTGTCTCCCTGGGCCCGACGTGTGAAAACCTCGGGTTTCGGCAATTCTGGGCGGGCTCGAAATACTTTCTCGTGATCACAACTAAAGCACATTCGAACACCATAATCCTAATTGGCCCCGTCCGACCTCCGCGGCTCAAAGGTAGGGCCCCGAGGGATGGGGCCCGTGCGGCAGGGGCCGGGAGCAGGGGCAGCGCGCGAGGCCGGCCCAGCAAGAGGGGGGCCAGGGAGGGGGGGGGGGGCTCAAGCTAGGTGCGCCCGCGTCATATCTGACATCCTACCCCTCCCTCCCGTCCTTTACCATGGCGCAGATCCCCTCTCTACTCGCAGAGTCGGATGTCGAGCAGGGCGATGATCCCGAAAGGGTACGCGATGCATTGTAGAGCACGGCATGGCATGGCGTAGAAGAGCACCGCGAAGCAGTAGCATCAACCCAGCATTGCATTGCATGCCGTGGCATGGCACGGGACATGACGCCAGCGCTGCAGCGGGAGCACGAGTCGAAACGAGCGGAAGCGCGGAAATGAGGCCAGCGCTGCAGCGGGAGAACGATTCGGAACGAGCGGAAGCACAGAAATGAGGCCAGCGCTGCAGCGAGAGCACGATTCGGAACGAGCGGGGCCCGAAAATGAGGCCGGCCCCTCAGCGAGAGCAGCATTGTGGGAGAAAATTGCAGGCGATAACCTAACTCTGGGGAAGGCTTCCTGGGCGCCAGAAGCAGAAATTCTGCATTTTCAATAGAAAAATGTATATTGGAATGGCCTTTTTTCGGCGCCGCCTCGGAACTCGATTTTCCGGCGCTGGCCGGAACCAGCTCCGGACCCGGCCCGGGCGCCGGCCCGGGCGCCGGCTCGGGCGTCCGGCCCGGGCGCCAGCTCGGGCGCCGGCCTGGGCGTCGGAATCGGCCCGGGAGGCCTCCCGCTCAAAAGAAAAATGTGTATTAGAATGGTTTTTTTTCGGCGCCGCCTCGGAACTCGATTTTCCGGCGCTGGCTGGAACCGGCTCCGGACCCGGCCCGAGCGCCGGCCCGGGCGCCGGCTCGGGCGTGCAGCCCGGGCGCCGGCGGAAATGATGCCAGCGCTGCAGCGGGAGCACGATTCGGAACGAGCGGGGCCCGAAAATGAGGCCGGAGCTTCAGCGAGAGCAGCATTTTGGAAAAAAATGCAGGCGAAAACCCAACCCCGGGGAAACCTGTGTAAAAAAACAGTACGCGGGGAGGGGGGGGGGGGGCGAATATTCCCAAGACGTCATCAGGGGAAGAGGGAGAGTAGTATTCATATTGAGTAATTGTCAAGAGAGGAGGACCGGGCGCGTCACGGCCGGCAGTGGGCGTGGGTGGGGGGGGCGATCTCCTGCACCGTCCCTCCCTCCCTCACCAAGCAATCATCGCGCTATCACTCGCCATCGCTCGGACGTCCACTCCCCCTGCATCTGTCGATTTCGTGCTCCGTCTTTGCGCTCCATGATCCAAGATGCTCCTCGATGCTCCTCGCCGAGGAAAAAGGCACATACCCGAGCGATGTCAAGATCACGAGGAGCGCAAGAGATCAGGAACGAGGTGGCGTCTCTGGCAACGGCCGGCCCGGGCCGCGAAGAGGTGCCCCCGCTCCACAGCCAAAATAGGAAGAGCGGCCTGAAATCCGGAGCCCCACCTGAGCGCAAGATGGTCCTCACTTTGGTGCCTTGACTGTACCCATCGGTCGGAAGAAGTAGGTAGACACATGAAGTAGGAAGGCGTTCAAAGTAGACTGGGTGTCCGCCCGCCCCCTGAAGAGACGAGAAGGAAACCTGTCGATCCTTGAAGTAGGAAGGCGCCTAAAAGAGATGATTGGGATCTGGGGATCCAAAAATGCCTACTTTCAACGACCGGCGTGTACTTCTCACGTCCTGTCCCTCCGTTCCTCCTCCTCCGAGTTCCTTCTGGCTCTCCTCTCCTTCCCTTTCCGCCCCATTGCGCCTCTGGATCCTCCCCGCCCCTCCCCCGCGTCCCTCTCGTGCCCTCGCGTCTACAGTCAGAACCCATAATAAGGACGCAAGGTAGGGCCGCAAGACCCTCGGAAGTCACATGTACCAGTCATAGCTCCTTGGACGACAACACTGGCCCAGGATGGGCCAAAGAGGCAGGGATGAAAGGGTAGCCTGGATGAAGCAGCGCATCTTTACTACGGATTTTCACTGTACCATCTTCGCTTCCTCCTTCTTGGTTGGCTCTGGCTTGGGCGTCCTTCCATCAAGGACAGCGAGACGGTAAGCTCAGGTCGGGCATGTCCCCCTACAGACAGTTTTTGTGAGAATAACAACAAATGGACAGCAAAACCATCAAAAATGCTCACAAATACTCAAAACATGTCCCCAGACTATTTTTTGATTATTGTTGACTCCTCCTGTAGAAGGACAAGTCCAATTTAACGGCGAGCAAAACAACGGGAGCAGCAGACAACCAGCCCCGCTCCCCCAACCCGTGCTGGCCCCACCTTGGCAACGGCAGGGGGCTCTGCGACGGACGGGCCCCCCGAAGCCCGATTAATCAGGAGAGGGGGGGAGAGGGAGGAGACGACGGCAAAGCCGCTCGAAACCCGTCCCTGGACCCCTCACGAGGTCGAGACTGACCAGTTCTTCGAGCCGCGTCAAGCCGTGGCGACGAGGGGGGGGGTCCCTTTCGCCCCGGCACTCGGCCCCCGGGCCTGCTCCGAGCCACCTCCTCCTCCTTCTCCTCCTCCTCCTCCTCCTCCTCCTCCTCCTCCTCCTCCCCCCAGGCGTTCGCTGTGCAAGCCCCCAGCGTTTGGCGGCGCGCACAGGGGGGCAGGGGGCGGGGGGAAGGCTTCTTTGAAGCAGGGGTGTTTCTAAGAAGCCTTCCCCCTCCCCCATACCCCCCTCTGCGCGTGGCCGAAAGGTCCTCTATGTACACGACGTCCTTCGTGTGCTCTATGATGGCCGACGCGTCGCTCGCGAGCATGTGCTCACCCTGCCCGACGCCTAGGACCAGCGGCGAGCCCTTGCGCGCGCCGATGAGCAGGTCTGGCTCGTCCTTCGAGCAGGGGATCGACTACAGAATGACTTTGCCCCAAAATTGATGCTCCTCATCTAGCCTACGACGAATGCGTAGAGTGTTCGTAGATCTACCGAGGATTGTAAGCAGTTGTCCGTAGATTCGGAGAGAAACTAACTCTGGGGTGAATCAACCCTGTAGTCGATCCCCTGCTCAGGTTCGAGTCTACGACGAATGCGCAGAGTGTTCGTAAGTCTACCGAAGATTGTAAGCCGTCATCCGTTGATCCGGCAAACACCTAACTCTGGGGTGAATCAACTCCGTAGTCGATCCCCTGCTCAGGTTCGAGACTACGACGAATGCGTAGAGTGTTCGTAGATCTACCGAGGATTGTAAGCAGTTGTCCGCAGATTCGGCGAGAAAACTAACTCTGGGGTAAATCAACTCCGTGGTCGATCCCACCACTCGGGTCCTGAAAGAGGAAGACCAGGCCGTACGCGCCCTCGACCTGCTGCAGGGCCACGGCCACCACCTGCGTAGGATCGGTCGGCACTGGGATCGGGAAAAACGGGATCTGGAAGGCAGAAAGTCCACCCCCTACTATTAAGGCGGGCCTGTCCCTCTACAGGAGGAATACTCAAAAATATTCAAAAAAACAATATGGAGACGACATTTCTACTATTTTTGGCCATTCTGAAATGTGTTTTGATGATTGCTTATTTTTCGTCCAAAATTCCCCTGTAGAAGGACATGGCCGACCTAACCCTAATACAGTCAGACCCTATCATCAGGATGCACGATAAGGATGAAAGGGCCTCGGAAGGCCATGTCGACACTTGGCGGGCGGGGCGCGGCCAGCGAAAGCGGCCAGGGATGGGCCGAAGGGTAAGGATGTAAGGGTACCCTCGGGAGGGTTGCCCATCCTTACTATGCGGGTTGACTGTAATCGCCCCGACAAGCGAAGCCGTTCAGTAAACGCGCCCAAGGAAGGAATCGAACAGGGCAGGGCTGTTCGGTAAGCGCCCGGGGCCGTCGTTGGCAGCAAACGCCAATTGTGGGGTCCGGGTGCTTGTTTCCCCCTTGAGGATCGAATCGGAAGCCTCGTCGGACCCCGGCCGCATCGGCACGGAGTCGACATCGGATCGCATCGGCCGCGCCAGGGCACAACGACAGAGAACCCGGCCGTGGAGGTATCGGGCCGCCGCGCCTCGGCCAGACAGCGAGGTCGAAGCGGAGCGAGCCGGGCGGGAGCGATGCCGGCTCGGATGGATCGGATCGAAGCGGACCCTGGCCAGGGTTAGGTCGGGCGTGTGCCTTTGCAGGGGGGAGATTCAAAGATAGTCAAGAAATAGTCGGGGGACTATCTTTTGAGCACTCTTCGACCATTTTGGGGCATCTGTTGGGGGGTACTTCTTCTGCTTCGTCGAAGGTATCCCCCCTGCAGAGGGGGACACGCCCGACGCAAGGCCAGGGCAGCGGCACTCCGCGAGGGGCGAAAAGATCCCGGAGGCCTCGCGCGGAGGAGCTCGGGAGAGGCCGCGGCCGGAGGGCCCGCGGCCGCCGCCGGGGGGCGCTGCGCGGCGCGCGCGGCGGGGCCGCGCGGTGCGCAGAGGGGGCGCGCGGGCCGGCCCGAGGCCGGGCGGGAGGGCCAAAGCCGCCAGGCAGGCGGGACAGAGCGCGCGTGGGAAGCAGTGCGCACACGCACACACACACACACACACAGACACACACACAGACACCCACACATACACACAGATATATATATATATATATATATATACACACACTCACACACACACACACACTCTCACACACACACACGCACACATATATACACACACGCACACAGATACACACACACGTCCCCCTCCTCCTCCTCCCTCCTCCACCGCCTCCTGCTCCTCCCTCCCGTTCGGTTGCGTCGAAGCATGAGCGCCAGCGCAGGGGAGAAGATGTGCTCGGATGTTCACTGCCCATCTGCCAGCGCCTTCTATCGAAGAAGAAAAGGTGACGAGGGGACCAACGCGCCTGAGCCCAGCTCCACCTGTCCTTGGGCCCCATCTCTTTCCGCATGTCGTACACCAGATGCGCAAGCAGCTCAGTGTCCGTCTGGCTCACAAACTCGTAGCCCTAAGGGCTTCGGAAGAACGGGGGGAAAAGCTGCCATGCATCCCAGAGGTCCCTGGAGGTCCCAGATGCATCCGAACGTTTCCACAGGCCAGCTGACCCCTCCTGAGGTCCTCGGAGGGCCCTCAAGTCCTTGGATATATCCAAAGACTCCAAGGCAGCATCTGGAAGCCCCACAACTGCCAAAAACGCCCAGATACCTTCACCGTCCCCCAAAAGGGGGCGATTGCTGCAACCCCTCAACGCACGGTCGAAAAATGGCCGAACAAATCCGCCGACCGTGTCGGCGTGTGTGAGACGCTGCTCCGTGCGCACTGTCTTCGTTGCGGCGGCGGCGATTCGGCTGCAGGGGCGACGGCGGCGGCGGCGGCGGCGGCGGCGGCGGTGGCGGGCGGCGCGGCGGCGGCGGCGGCGGACGACGGCGGCGGGCGGCGCGGCGGCGGCGACTGCGGACAGCGGCAGCGGCGGCGGCGGCGGCGCGGCGGCGGCGGCGGCGGGCGGCGGCGGCGGCGGAGGCGGCGGCGGCGGCGGCGGCGGCGGATTCGCCCCCAGTAGCTGCCCATCCAAGGACGACTGCTGAATATGCTGCGGCTCGGGCCAGGCTCGGGTGCTATGTATGTGTTGGGAGGGTGGGTGGGAGTGAGCAAGACGGCTTGCGGCGGGGAGGGAATCTTGACCCTCCCCCTTCTACCCCCTCCCCTAGACATGGACGGGGCGCCCCGCGAGGTGGTAGAGGGCACGCGTTCGCCCAAGATGGCTCCAAGATGGCTCAAGATAGCCCAAGATGCCCCAAGTCGGCCCCCATGATGCTCAAAGAGGCCCCAAGAACGCTCCAAGACGGTTCCCAGAGGCCTGCGAGACCTCCAAGGAGGCCTCCAAGAAGCCAACATCCTTCCCACTGGAAAATCAATGTTTTTGCGTTCACGTCTTTTCGCGTCAGATGGCCATCCGAGGCCTCAAGATGGCTCCAAGATGGCCCAAGAGAGCCCTAGGAGAGACCCAACTGAGCCCCCAAGACGGCCCCAAGAGCGCCCAAGAGCGCTCCAAGAGAGCCCAAAGAACGCCTCAAGAGGCGACTGTGGGGGGGCTCCCAAGAGGGGGCGTCGGGCGAATTTGTGAACCCTTCTTCTTTGATCGATCTCCTCCAAGATCGCCCCAAGAGCGCTCCAAGGCTCCCAAGAGCGTCCCAAGATGGCCCCAAGAGGCGCCCAGACGGCCCCAAGAGGCGCCCAAGATGCTTCCAAGAGACTCCCAAGAGGGCCCCAAGAGGCTTCAAGAGGATCCCCGACGCACCCAAGACGCTCACAGACGGCCTTGGGCTCGCCAACATCCCCTTTTTCCTCCTCCTGCTCCTCCTGCTCCTCCTGCTCCTCCTGCTCCTGCTCCTGCTCCTGCTCCTGCTCCTCTTCCTCCTCCTCCTCCTCCTCCTCCCCTCCTCCTCCTCCTCCTCCTCCTCCTCCTCCTCCTCCTCCTCCTCCTCCTCCTCCTCCTCCTCCTCCTCCTCCTCCTCCTCCTCACCCTCCTCACCCTCCTCATCCTCCTCCTCACCCTCCTCCTCATCCTCCTACTCCTTGTTCACTGTCTTGTCCTCCTTCCTCCTCGGAGTCCTCTTCCTCCTACTCCTCCACCATCCTCCCCCGTTCACTGTCTTGTCCTCCTTCCTCCTCGGATTCCTCTTCCTCCTACTCCTCCACCATCCTCCCCCTCTTGGGGTATCGGACGGCTGCCCCCGCCCTCTGTTCTTCTGCATGCTCCCCCACGTCCCTGATCACCTCAACTCCCCTGGACACCGTTTCTGGATGGGTTGGTGGGGATACTTCTTTTCCGCAGCGAGAGGCGAGCGCGCCAGAAGAGAAACACGGGTCGCGAGCACCCTAATTGCTGGCGCGCGCGCGCGCGGGGAGCAAGCAGACAAATCCTACCGCCGAGGGGAGCTGCGCCGGGGCTGGGCTGCGCCGAGGGGTGAAGCTACCAGCTGCGGAGGCGGCTAGGAAGTTGCAACTTGCGAGTACAATGGGAGCGAGATCACCAGGCACGGGAATTGACCCTTGTCGCCACAGGGCGCCAGAGGACGGGGAGGCAGACCGCCAGGGGAGACGCCAGGCTGAACAAGAAGGCTGAACCACTCCTGCAAGACACGGCGGCCCATACCCCAGGGGCCCAGCTGACGACCGGAGCCAGGGAAGTGCGAGCACTGCCAAGACTGGTCAAAACGCGCGAGACCTCAACGCCAAGGCACACTCGGTACCAGGGAACAGCGAGAGCGCCAGAGGCCAGGTGACGGGCGCCTCCAACAAGGCTGAGGGGGACGCAGCCCAACGCCAATGGCGGAGTGGGAGGCAGACACGGCCAAGCCGGGCGGTGTCTGGGGACCAGGGCCCAGGGGAGTGCAAGCACAAGCGCCACTGGTCAAGACGCGCGAGACGAGGACGTCACGAAAGGGCCAGAGCCAGGGTAACCACGCCAGGCCGTGGCGGGGTCCAGGCAGAGACCAGAATGAAAACAGCTCTGTAACGGCCAGGGCCGTAAGGCACGTCGCGCCCCGCCCCAGCGGCTACAGCGCGCCCAATATTGACGGCGACTGGGGGCCAGCTCCCCAAGGGCGGGAAGGCCGAACCAGGACCCGGGCAAGGGCCAACACGGAGCGACCCTGGACCGGCAGCGGGGAACCGAACCGCGCTGCAGCCAGGAGCGGTGAAGGCCGGGGGGGGCCGATGCCGGGACGCAATCGGCCCGGAAAAATTCCCAAGGGGGCCCCCAAGGGGCCCGAGGAGAGCCGCAAGACAAGTCTTCTTTCACTCTGGACCCCATGCGCTCCCCCGGTCGTCCCGACCAAAAAAAAAACTGGGAACCAGCACTCAACCAAAACGTGGCGAGTTTTCCACATCGACTGTCGGCCGCAATTGCCTGGCGCTTTCACAAAAGCACTGGACGGTTTGCATAATGGTAGTGGACGTTTCCCGCAGGCATTTTCGATACAACTGGGCAGTGGATGGCTGAGGTGTAGATATGAAGAAGCATTGGTGCTCGCGCGTGCCAAACATCACGGTATCATCTGCCCTATACGCCCCTTTGGCGCATGCCCCCCCGTCCTTCATGATGAGTTGCTGCCTCAGTGCCTGATAGTTCTCGATGACGCCGTTGTGGACGACGGCGACGCTCTTGTCCTTAGCCAAAAAGCCCCAAAACCGAATTACACATACAAACAGAAGTGTTGGTCTTCTTGGTAGATTTGGGTGTCGCGGTACCTCGGCCAACAAAGGGGGTAGCTGACATATGTGGTGGCGTAACGACTGGCCGAAAATCATTGGGACGTTTCGGGAAGCGTGCGCGAAGAATGCGCGTGCCTTCTTCCGAAACCGCGCTCTGCAGTGGTACTTCAACATCGGTCATAAAGCTCAGGTACAACGGACCGATGTAAAGCACCTACAACGCACCAGTGCAAGAGTACCCTTGGACCACGTGAGCAAAAACCTAACAATCGTGCCCGGGACCGAGGCATCCTCGGATCCTGGGCTCCGAATGTTCCTTCTCGAGGCCGGCCTCGACTGCAAGCACGTGTCGAGCCCATGCCGCGTTTCTGCCCATCGCTGCGCCCCGCGAGGCCACGGCCCAGGCGCCCGGGGCCGGTCCAGAATCCGCCGACCCTCGCTCGCAGCCGGGCGCAGGGGCGTGCGACACGATTGGCTGTCCCCCTCCCGTCTTCCCTTTGCCCTTGGGTCTGAGATCCGATCGGACGGGGGGGGGGGGGAACGGGGGGTCGCGAGAGAAGAAGGAGTGGGGCATGCGGGCGCCAGGGGGGCCCAATTTGCCAGCCTCGAACGTATCCCTACCCCTAACATTGACACGCCAAAAGGCGATGACAATCTCAGGGATTCGCCCTCAGACAATAAGGGAATCCCTGAGATTGGCATCGCGGTGAGGAGGTGCCCAGCATAGGGATAGGAGTATGCTCCAGGCTGGTAACCAATGGCGCTCCGAATAGCCCCAAGAGCGCCCGCCTCGAGCCACGGCGGCAGCGGGCAGAGCGAGCGAGGCGCTCGCTCCCCCGTCGGCGCCCTCTTTCAGGCCGGGGAGGGGTCTCCGAGCTCACCGGCGCTCCCCTGGGGCCTCCGGGGCCTCCAGGTATACACACTGTGGCCTCCAAGATGCCTAAGAATCGATCTGCGCTTGCTCAACAATCAGGGTTCCAACCCGCACAGGAGTCCTCGAAGACGACCAAGATAGCCTCAAGACTGCCCACGGGGCCTCAAATACACCCAAGGACAGCTCCAAGACGACCCCCGAAAGGGCCCCAAAAAAGAAGAATCGTCCAACTCCTTCGGGAAATCGTAATTTTTTGGTCCCAACAGCGTACAGGACGGCTCCCATGATCGCTCCAAGACGGCCCAAGAAGCCCCAGAGAGGACCCCAAGACGTCTTGGGGCTGCCTTGGGGGCCCCTGGGTCCGTCTTGGAGCGTCGGATGCTTGATGGGGGGATAACGTGAAAACAACAAAAACATGATGTTTACCTCTTGGGGCCCTCGAGGGGGGCCCTCTTGGAGCGCTCTCGGAGTGGCCCAGGAAAGCCCCAACAGGGCCCCGGGAGGGGACCTAAAGGAGAGGCAGCTCGAACTGACATCCCCGAGCCCACCGCCACGAGAGGGCCCCCGAGACCGCCAGAAGAGGCGCCACAGAGGCCCCCAAGAGGCCCCCAAGAGGCCCAAAAGGGGCCCCCAGAAGGTTCTCAAGAGGCCCCAAAAGGCCTCACCCATGGACTTCATCCCTCTTCTGGGGGTCGGCCCAAGGCCACGGAACGGCGGTGTTGCTTAACGGTGATGTTGGGAACCAAATTGGAGGAAATCACGCACCACATCTTCCTACATCCAATACGCGAGGGCATCAAACGAAAACGACACAGCCAATGCACGAACCACGCGTTCCCACTATACCGGAACCTACATCCCCGTTAGCGTGTCTACGGCCGGCAGAATGGCGCAATTAGGCGTCTCGAATATGCTGCCAAGAGACCCTCGTTACGGCCGAACCTGGCACAGAAGAACAGCCTCCGAGAACATGAGGCCCTCCGCTGGCCACAGCACACAGAACATCCGAGGGTACCCTGCCCAGGATGCACAGGAATATCCAACAAACACAAATGAACATCAAGGTACCCTCCCCGAGCCGACCTCAATCTCATACCTCCGGCCGACCGTGTTCGCTTTACTGGGTCGGGGGGCGAGAGGTTGGCGGAAGCGTCCTGGCCCCCAGGCCGCACAACAAAAACCCCGCGGGCCGAGCTTCACAAACTGCACCTCGATGCCCGTCCGAGCTCTGCCGAAAAAAGCTCCCTGACTCAGCAGCAAGCGAGGGGGGGGGGAAGGAGGAAGACGAGGCCTTCTCAGAAGGCTCAGAAGCACCCCTGACCTCCCGAGAAGTTTCCCAAGCCTCCCCCGAAGACTCGGAAAACTCCTCAGAGGGCGTCCGCGCTTCGGAGACGTCCCGCCGCCATCTGAGAAGGCCTCCTCCTTCTCGCGTACCCCCCTCGCTCGCCGCCGACCGACGACCCTCGAGAGTCACAGAAAAGCCCAAGGCAGGATCGGTCAGCAACGAATCGGGAAATCAGATCGAATCCGAATGCGCGTCTGGTCGGGCTGCATCGGCACGGAGGCAAGATCGAATCGGATGGGCTGCGCCCAGATGCACGACGGCGCTGTGCAGGCATCGGGCCGCATTGGATCGCCAGGGATCTAAATCCACCGACACTGCCTGCGTGTGTGCGGGGTTCATCCGATCGAGTCGGTTTCCTTTGGTGTCGTCCAAGAACCCGAAATCCTTCAAGGGCCTAACCGACATTCGCCAACCCTGACATCCGTCAAGCCTGTCAGCAAAAGAAAAACCTAGCAATGTCGTAATCGACTCGAAGGGAAGCCCCTTCCCTTTGATCCCTCCCCCGTCGGGGGAGGGGTCCAGGGGGGGGTGGAGGGGGGGGAGTCATATACGCATCCTCCCCTGGGGGTTACGGCGAAACACCTGGGGTGGGGGGGGGTCAGATACGCATCCCCCCCTGGGGTGGGGGGGTCAGACACGAAACAACAAAAACAATAATAACAGCAACATTAACAACAACATTAACATCAAACAACAAACCGCAAACAACAAACAACAAACAACAAGCAACAAGCAACAGACAACAGACAACAGACAACAAACAACAAACAACAAACACAACAACAACAACAACAACAACAACAACAACAACAACAACAACAACAACAACAACAACAACAACAACAACAACAACAACAACAACAACAACAACAACAACAACAAAACCAAAAAAGGACAACAGCAACAGCAGCAGCAGCAACAGCAACAACAACAACAGCAACAATAGTTTTAAGACTGTTCGCCCTTATATGCTCGAGTGTCCAATAACGCGTATTTCCCAAACCCTCGATACCCGCCCTCTTCGTCTTCGATCGAACCCCTTTTGGGGGGTATACCTTTCTTCCCTGCAGGCCGGGCCCCGGCAAGCGGCGGGGCGGCCGCGGACCGTCGGCCTGGCCAGCGGCAGCGCTGATCGGCGGGGCGGCCGCGGACCGTCGACCCGACCCCAAGAGAGACGGACAGGGGACCGACCACGACGACGACGACGACGACGACGACGACGACGTCGAAGACGACGGCGACGACGACGACGACGCGACGACGAGCGAAAGCGAGAGCGAGAGAGAACGACAGCAGGGCCACGAAGGGCACGAAGTAGGCCACGAAGGGCGACAGCGGGGACACGAAGGGAATGCGTATGGGGCCACGAAGAGCGCGAACGAGCGGGGGCCACGAAGTGCAGATAATGCGGGGCCACAGAAGGCAACTATGGGGCCACTGAGGGTAGCAACTGGGCCACGTAGGACAGTGAGGGGGACACAAATGGCGACAGCGGGGCCACGAAGGGCATGCACATGGGGCCACAACGGGCGCGACTCCTGGGTGCCTGGGTGTCGGGAGCGCGGCGCTTGGGCAAATTGCAGGAAATTCCAACGCAAGGCCATTCTTCAGTACGTTGCAAGCAAGTCTCCAGCGAGAGCGCGATTCCAGAGCGCCGGGAGAGCGATTCCTGAATAAATTGTAAGGAAGCCCCAAGCGAGAGCGCGATTCCTGAATACAACGCTAGGAATTCTCGGGCGGGAGCGGGGGTCCTGGCTAAATTGTAAAGAAGTCTCAGGCGGGAGCCGTTGTTGTTGTAACCCGGGGGCCAGGGGCCCAGTTTGAGCATCAAGATTTTCCCTGTCAGAAAACAGGGTGCGAGCGTCGAGGAGCACACTGTAATTGAAAAAACAGTACGCACTGGTGGGGGGATCAACAATAATTATTCTTCAGAAATGAGAATTCAACAGTAACAACAACAACAACAACAACAACAACAACAACAACAACAACAACAATTACTAGCACGTGGGGACACTCCGTTCTCACCAGTGCCAGGGTTTTCATAGGAGGCGGGCAATACCCCCACTTTGTGGGGGGGCCGGTTCAAGCTCTACCAAATTTCCAAACGACTCTTCGCCACCACCCACACCCAGCTTCCCGCCCTATGACGTTCGGACACTTCACTTCGTGGCATGCGGACGACCGTGGCTACTATTCAGGGCCCCGCGGCCGACGACGACGGCGTGCGCGCGCGAAGAAAAAACGAATGTGTCCCGCATGGTATTATTTGACAGGGATGATGGCCCTGGCAGGTGCGCAACCGTTGTTGCAGAAGTTCGAAAAAGTTGCTCGCAAAAGCCCGTTTGACAGAAATGTTTAAAAAGTGTTGGGTTTCCTACGAATCCGCAAGAGCGCGCGGGATGAAATTTCGACAATTTTTTTTTGAAAAACCATTGGTTTTTTGATGTTTTTATGTTAAAATCGCTACGAAAACTAAGGTTTTGGAAGGATTTCGTCTTGCGCGCGCGAATGTCCACTTTACCTTATTTTTTGCAAGGGATTCTTGAAGTTTGATTATGTTAGAACAAGAAATGTCATTTTATATTTTTTGCAAGGGAAAACGGATTACAACAAAACAACCGGATCTGGACACATCGTTTTACCTGAGGCTTCCTCACGAAAATGATGAAAACGTGGCTGCGGCCTAGGCGCGGCGGGGGGGGCGCGCACCAGGGGCCCCAACAATAATTATTCTTTAGAATAAATAATGCTCAACAACAACAACAACAACAACAACAACAACAACAACAACAGCAACAACAACAACGACAACGACAACGACATCGACAACGACAACGACAACGACAACGACAACGACAACGACAACGACAACGACAACGACAACGACAACGACAACGACAACGACAACGACAACGACAACAACAGCAACAACAGCAAGAGTCACACCAACAACCACAACAACAACAACAATAACAACAACAACAACAACAACAACAACAACAACAACAACAACAACAACAACAACAACAACCACAACAACAACAACACAACCAACAACAACAACAACAACAACAACAACAACAACAACAACAACAACAACAACAACAACAACAACACCAACAACAACAACAACAACAACAATAGCAACAACAACACCAACAACAACAACAACAACAACAACAACAACAACAACAACAATAACAACAACAACAACAACTACTACTACTACTACTACTACTACTACTAGCAGCTCCCAAGTCACGAGTCCGGAATCAAACCTGATCGCAAGACGAGGCGACGCTGAGACGGTGGCCTGCGAAACGTGCGGATGGGAATTGACGTCGGAGGGCTTCCCGTGAGTCGCCCAGCGCGTGTGGGCCATGCCGCAGGTGCCCTCGAGGCCGCCGCTGCTGCAAGCCGCCTCGAGGTTGCTAACTTTTCCTTCCTTCTTCCTCAGCTTCAGCGGATCCCCGTGGACCGCCACGCCCGCGGAGTCATAGCCACGATACTCCAGTCGCTTCAGGGCAGTGATCAGCAGGCTAAGCACCTGCCTGGTCCCAATGTACGCGAATATCCCGCACATGGCCGCAGACGGGCGGGCCGGGGGACAACCTTGGCCTCGAGCCCCAACGCCTGGGAAGCGCGCGTGCAAACGTGAAGATCGGGAGGCAAATCCTGGGAGGTCCTCATCAGAACGATTAGGAACTATCGAGCCCCATTGAGGGGCCACTCAGCCGGATCAGGCCGGATGAAGCCCAGGCTGCGGCCAAAGTAAGCGGGACCTGACCTCCCAGGAGTTGCATCCCAGTGCAGAGGGCACGCACGGGCGGGCTCGCATGCACGCATCTATCAGACGACTGGCGATGGCAGCGTGGACATACAAGGAGGATACCACGCTAGGCAGACCGTGCTCCTCCTCCTCCTCCCCCTCCTCCTCCTCCTCCTCCTCCTCCTCCCCCTCCCCCTCCCTCCTCCTCCTCCTCCTCCTCCTCCTCCTCCTCCTCCTCCTCCTCCTCCTCCTCCTCCTCCTCCTCCTCCTCCTCCTCCTCCTCCTCCTCCTCCTCCTCCTCCTCCTCCTCCTCCTCCTCCTCCTCCTCCTCCTCCTCCTCCTCCTCCTCCTCCTCCCTATCGGTAGTGGTGGTGGAAGGTCGGCCCATCCATCAAATCCTGGCCAGGCCCGTCCCAGGTCCAGGGTCCCTGCAAGGACGCCCTCGTGGCCTCGCCAGAACGGCGCACGCACCGATCCCCGGCCCGAGGCCGAACACGGGCCTGGACCGGCCCGAGACATACGCAAACAAATACACAAACACAATCGCAGGATTCCCCATCTGGTCTCGTAGTTTCTGGATTCTCGCCTTCCCCCCCCACACTGCCCCTGCTTTCCCACGTGTTCCTTGGAATCGACGATTCATGGTGTCTGCGTGATGTTTCCCCTCCTGAGTATCGGCGCCCCCCGACAGTCAACTTCGGCGGCGCTCGGCGTGTGACAGGGGCTGCTCCGTCGCCGTCGCCGTCGCTGCCGCCGTCGCGTCGCCGCCGCCATCACGTCCCCTCCTTCCCCTGAGTCCTCCGTCGCCGCTCCCCCCCTTTCCTTGGGCCCTCGTCCTCAAGCACGCCAGCCAAAGCGAAAGTGAAATGCACCAGCCCATCCACAGCGAAATGAAGCAATGTTTTCATTGAGTCGAAAGGAAGCCCCTTCCCTTTGATCCCTTCCCCGCGGAGGGGGGGGGTCCCAGAGGGTGGTCCCGGAGGGGTCCCAGGGGGTGGTCCCGGAAGGGGGTCCCGGGTCAGAATACCACCATCCCAGCCCGCCCCATCCCTCCCATTTCCGTCGAGGGCCGAGGCCTCCAGGGTCGGCGGCACCAGCCATAAGACCTTCGCAATATCAGAATCGAACCGAATCGGACCGACCAGGATCGAAATCGAACAGGACCGGCCAAATCGAAGTGGACCCTGCCGTGCGCGCCGAGCCTGAGAATTCCACACATGCCGGCCGCATCTCACCCACTCCTCCCCGGACATCTGGCTGCTCCATTTTTGTTCGATGCGTAGGCCCCGGAGCTCCGGACCACTTCCCCGGGACTGGTTTCTCGTCCTGAGTCGTTCTTTGACGCTCCCGAGGCCCAGCGAGGGCCCCCTTTACCAGCCTGGAACATATCCCTATCCCTATGCTGAGCACCTCCTCATCACGATGCCAATCCTAGGGATTCCCTTATTTTTTGAGGGCGAATCCCTAAGATTGTCATCGCCTTTTGGCGTGTCAATCTTAGGGATAGGGATACGTAACCCCCGAGGGCCGAAAACTGTCAAAAACCGCCTGCCCCGATGCTCTCGGAGCGTCGGATCTCGGGGCCCGCGGCCGCGGTGCAGGAGAGCACGCTCGCCACCAGCGCCTCGTCCGGGCAGAGGAAGCACGGGAAGAGGTCGGCGCAGAAGCCCTGGGTGAAGTACCTGGCGGGCCCGCCCGCAGACGGCTCGATCCGGGAGCTGGTGCCCCCCCCCGCCCCGAAGGCTCCGAGCGCGCCATGGGGTGTCCAGCGCCGAGCCACAGGGACCTCCTCCTCCTCCTCCTCCTCCTCCTCCTCCTCCTCCTCCTCCTCCTCCTCCTCCTTATCCTCCTCCTCGTCCTCCTCCTCCTCCTTCTCCTCCTTATCCTCCTCCCCCTCCTCCTCCTCCTCCTCCTCCTCCTCCTCCTCCTTCTCCTACTCCTCCTCCTCCTTCCATAGTTGAGTCACCTTCAATGTGTTCCCCCGAAAGCTCCGAGCGCGCCAGAGGGGTGTCCAGCGCCGAGCCACAGGGGCTCCGCACTGTTGTCGTGTTGTTCCCATCGCACTTCAGGGCCACATCCAAGGAGTAATCTCGGGCACCCACAGAAAAGCATCGAAGCGGTGTCGCACGAGTATCGCCAGCCCAGGGCCCGACACGTGAAAAACCCTCCTGCTTCGATACTTTCTTGGTGCTCGAGATTATTGCTGGTGAACAAAGCTAAAGTCGGTTGGAACATCATACGTCATACGAACTCCGCTTCGCGCTTCGCTGAGCGCGAAGCGCGTATCACTTCGCACTCTCGCGCCGCCCCGGAAAAGAGGAGGATGAGGAGGAATCGGAGCAGAAGCGCGAAGCGCGAATGACTTCGCGCCCTGGCGGGCGCCCTTGGATCCAAGAGATCCGATCCGACCTACTCTTAAGTTGGGCGTGTCCCTCTACAGGGGGATTTTAAACGAACAAAAAAAACTACTCCAAAAACTACTCCAAAAACCGTCCCCAGACTATATTTTGACCACTTTTGAATGATATTCCCCCTGTAGAGGGACAGGCCCGACTTACACCTACTCATCAGACTCGACTGCGCCCCCGGACCGTCCACGGCCGCCCCTCCTGCCGGGCCTCGCCCGGTCCAGCTGTGCACCGAAAGGCTGGCTGCCCCTGCGCTCCCGAGCTTACGCCTCGTGGACGTCCAGCCCCTGCCCCTGCGGGAGCCCGAGGCCGCCAGCGCCGCCAGTGCACCAGCGAAGGGCTCCCGACTTCGCGCCTCGCGCTGCGCGAAGCGCGAAGCGCGAAAAACTTCGCGCTCTCGCGCCGCCTCCCAGGGGAGAAGAGGAGGATGAGGAGGGATCGGAGCCGAACCGCGAAGCGCGAAGCGCGAATAACTTCGCGCCCTCGAGGGCGCCCTTGATGTTCACCCTCTGAGTGTGCCTCCGGCTCCTCATCCTCATCCTTCCTCTCTCCGCGGCCACCTCTCTCCCCAGAGCCACCTGCCCAGTCGCCGGTGGCCACCGCGCAGCCAGCCGTGGCCAAGACCACGCGGAATCCTTGGGCGGTGCGACCACAAGCAAACGTAAGCCCAGAGTTGGAAGACCAAATGTGTTGGTTTGGGGGTCCCAAAACCGTTTGGTGAAAGACCGCGCGGTGACCTCGAAATCCCAGAGGACCTCTCGCCACACGGTCCATCACAGCACGGTCTTGGGAACCTGGAGGCCCCCTTGCCCCAGACATTCTTGGAGAACGAATTGAGCCCCAAAACAGCGCGGTGACCCCGAATCCCCACTGACTCACCACACAATGCGGTCACTACCTCTTTCGGGGCCCCCGACCGGCAACCGCCACTCCCCGGATGTCTCCAGGAGGGCGCTCTGACCAGAGTCTTGACCAGTATCCAGCCGTATAGCGACGAGGGCTCTCCGGGACGAGCCGCGAGACCGGCATCTCTTCCTCATTCCTAGACCCCCGACGTCGTGACTCTTTCCAAAAACGTGGACCACCGCAGGTCTCGACTCATTCCTTGAGACGTGCCGTTTCATCCTGCGAAAGACGAGGAGCAACGAGAAGAGGACACCCTGGATCAGACACTCGCGCAGTCGACGGCGACGCGGCAGTAGCGACCCTTCTCGGGGATGGACAGACCCCCCTTTAGTAAAACGCGGTTTAGTGAAAACGACCTGACGCCCAAAACTGGCGGGCGCAAGCCTGGAAAATAACGGCCACGGCGCCCTCTCGAGAACCGAAAACGGACAATTCACTAATCGACGTGTCACTGTTGGGGGTTCTGTCCACCCCCGCCCTTCTGTGCTTCGGCCACGGCGTCGTCTATCTTGCTGAGCGGGTGCGAGGACGGCGCGAGCACCGACTCGAAAGGACACCACGGGACACCGCGCCACGGGACACCACGGGCCACCGCGGGACACTACGGGACACCATGGGGCACCACAGGAAACCATCTGGACACCACGGCGGGACACCCGCAGACACCGCCGGACAATCCGGTGGGGGCGGTCTTTTGGCCCGGCGGCGCCCTAGCCAGAGGAAGGTTCAGTCCTCTCGCCCGCCCACGCAGCTTCGCCTCGCCCGCACGCACGACACGAACACGAAAGCGAAACGCAAACCGATTTCCCGGTGGGGGGCTCTCCGTTTCACTGCGATCTCACCCTGCCGCCTCCGATATATAGATACACACACGTATATGTCTTTTAAGTTTCTATACAGATTCAAATATGCAGAAGGAGACAAAGAGAGAGAGAGAGAGAGAGATCCTGGCTCTCTCCGTCCGTCCGTCCCTGGCCCTCGCAACCTTGCTGTCGGAAGACAGCACCACGCCAAACGAAGGCGCCCCCCGCGAGGATGCGGGAGAGCGGCAGGGCCGCACCAGATGATGGCCCTCTGGTTGCCGGCACGGAGAACTGCGAGATCTGGCCTCGGCATGCCCTTCTTGCAGTTCTCCCCTTCATCCTCTTCCTTTTTTTTGTTGTCCCCCTTCATCCTCTTCGCCCTCTCCAAGGACAACAGAGACTTACTGCACATGACTTCTCGGAGGCTCGGCGACGCGCGGAGCGCGCAAAGGGGCGGCGCCGGAGGCACCCACCAGGGAGGGCTCGGCACCGGCCCAAAACAAAGTCGCGCCGACCCCCACACAAATGCCTGTGTCTGCTGTCGTCTGCTGCTCCCTCCTCTCGGCGTGTCCGGGAGTGGGCGGCAGAGCGCAGGTCAAAAGAGAGGTCCCCGGGGTGCGCGCTGCGGCACGCCGCGCGGCACGCGGCGTGGGGTGTGACG